TGCTGGGCGTAGACGTGTTGCTGGGCATGACCGGCATTGACGCCCTGCAGGGCGTGAGTGTAAGTGGAGGATCCGTTCGCTTCGGGAGCGACAACCCAGTTGCGAGCGTCGACACGGCTGCTGTGGTGCAGCGTGAGGCCCCGCCGGAGCGGGAGGTGTGTCGAGCGGTTGACACGGCTGCTGTGGTGCAGCGTGAGGTCCCGCCGGAGCGGGAGGTGTGTCGAGCGGTCGACACGGCTACTGTGGTGCAGCGTGAGGCCCCGCCGGAGCGGGAGGTGTGTCGTGCGGTCGACACGGCTGCTGTGGTGCAGCGTGAGGTCCCGCCGGAGCGGGAGGTGTGTCGAGCGGTCGACACGGAGCCGGAGCTAAGGATTGACGAGACTGACTTCACGGCTGTGTTCGATGATGTGTGGACAGTCCGTTGGAAATGGGCCGGTGGCGTGGCTCCGCCCCCGCTTGGAAACTCGATAGCTCAGTACGGTGTGCCGAGTTGTGCGCGTGAAAAATTCGATGCAGAGCTGGCGCTGTGGATTAGTGAGGGCTGGCTGCGCGAATACGATGAGACGATGTACGGTCCCGCACAGGGATTGATCCCGTTGATGGTGGTTACTCAGGCAGCGAAGGACAAGGTGCGGCCGGTGTTAGATTATCGGGAACTCAATCAACACCTGACACGTCACACAGCCGACGCTGACGTCTGCGTGGAAGAGCTGCGAAGGTGGCGACGTCACGGACGCCGGGTCGCTGTCCTGGATCTGAAGAAAGCTTTTCTTCAGCTTCGTGTGGACCCGGCCCTGTGGCCGTACCAGACAGTCATCGTGCAAGGGCGGCGGTACTGCCTGACCAGGGTCGGCTTTGGGCTCAGTATCGCGCCTCTGATCATGAAGGCTGTGGTCAGGAAGGTGCTCGCACAGAGCCCCGGGTTGGCAGAGGCAGTGCTGCCTTACGCCGATGATCTGCTGGTCAACGAAGCGGTGGTCTCGGCTGATGAGGTTGCCGAGCACTTCGCTCGATTCGGGCTCACATGCAAGCCGCCGGAGCGGGTCGCGACCGGTGCACGTATGCTGGGCCTTCGTGTCGCCGAGAGCGACGGGCCGGCACTCCAGTGGAGTAGGGACGGGGAGTCACCAACGCAGGCTCCACCCGTGCTAACGCGGCGATCTGTCTTCGCGTGGGCCGGCCAGCTGACATCTCATGTGCCGGTCGCAGGCTGGCTGCGGCCGGCCGCTGCATGGATGAAGCGGACTGCCAACCGCCTCAGCCCGGACTGGGACACTCCGATCGTCAGCGAGGAACTACAACGTGAGGTGGATGAGGTGTCACGGCGGTTTCGAGCATGTGACCCGGCACGCGGCCAGTGGTGTGTGACAGGGACGAGCGTCGTGGTGTGGACCGACGCCAGCTCCATCGCCCGCGGTGTCGTGCTCACTGACCCTGACACGGGCGCCATCATCGAGGACGCGTCCTGGCTGCGTGCCGAATCGGAGAGGGACGTGCACATCAATATCTCAGAACTGGATGCCGCTCTCAACGGTGTCAACCTGGCGGTAGCATGGGGCTTCCGTCGCCTGACGCTCCGGACAGACTCGGTGACGGTGCACCGCTGGCTGAGTGACGCGCTGTCGGGTAAGGCAAGGCTGCGAACCAAGGCGCAGTCCGAAATGCTTATCCGACGGCGCGTGGCTGTTTTCCGTCAGCTCGTCATCGAGTACGAACTGGAGGTCACTATCGAGCTGGTCGCGTCAGCGGTCAACCGTGCTGATGAGGTGACGCGGGTGCCCAACGCCTGGCTGCAGACTGCCGACCAGCCAACCACTGATTCGTCCAAAGCACAACCGGTGGCTGTCGCTGCCATCACAAGTGCCTCAGCGAGTGACATCCGCACCATCCACGAAAACATCGGTCACCAAGGAGTGAGGAGAACGTTGTGGTACGCCCGACGTGAGCTGGGGGTGAGGCGGGTGTCAAAACCAGCTGTGCGAGACGTGGTCAGACGATGCCAGACGTGTGCCTCGATTGACCCGGCGCCGGAGCGCTGGCCCGGTGGGTCACTCGGAACAGAACGCACGTGGGATCGCCTGGCCATGGATGTCACCCACGTGCACGGCCACCCATACCTGACGCTGGTGGACTGCGGGCCGTCGAGGTACGCCATATGGCGACGGCTTCGCCGGGCAGGAGCTCTGGAGATTGTGAGTGAGCTGGAGAACGTGTTTCTAGAGCGTGGAGCCCCGGCGGAAATACTCACGGACAATGCGACAGAGTTCCGTGGCCGGGTCATGTTAGCGTTCGCGGCTCGCTGGGACGTATCCATCCGGTTCCGCGCTGCCTACGAGCCCGGCGGGAACGGCATCGTCGAGCGCCATCATCGTACCATCAAAGTGATGGTGGCCCGGCAGTCCTGCTCCGTTGCTGAAGCAGTCCATCGATACAACGTGACACCGAAGGATGGCAGTGACCCGGCCACAGCTCCAATCAACGGGGTGCTTCGACACCCTGGCCGAGACGTTGACGTGACGCCCCGCAGAACCTCAGACGAGCCTGGTGACGCCCTGCCGCTGAAGAAACCCGGTGTATACCAGGTAGGGGACAAGGTGTGGGTTCGGCGGCGGGGCGACCGATGTTTTGTAAAGTCAGACGAGGGTATTGTGACAGGCGTCGTTTCGGCCCAGACAATCGAAGTCGATAATGTCCCACGACATGTGCGAAACCTCCGACATCGGTTGACCGTCCCTGAATGTCCGAGGCCAGGGGCTCTGCGAGCGCCAACGGTGGAGTGGTCTGATGACAGCGAGTGTGATGGCGTGTGTGTGTCGCCAGCTCCGAGTGATGTGACGGAGTCGGACACGCGGCCGCCCAGCGTCGCTCAGTCCCCGGACCCCGATCCACCGACCGGGTCCGATGTGTCCGCAGACGAGAGTGAAACGTTCGTGCCTGCGACGCTGCGGCGTGGTACGCGTGTTCGAAGAGAGCCGGAAAGATATGGCGATGGTGTGCCAGAGGATGTAGTTGATGCGTTGATTGAATGACATGTAACATGTAGAGTAATGTGGTTCTTCAGAACCAGGGGGTGATGTAGCGTGACGCAAGGATGAATGTGAGCCGTATAAGTGTGAGTCAGCTTCAGCGTCGAGCTGTGAACCGGTGACCCAGCGTTGGTCATAGCCGCCGGCATCTGATGCCGGCAGGGCCGAGTTACACCCTGCAAGTAGCTGGGCCGGGCATGACGTATGGGAGCATGATTGGCTGGTTATGATGTGAGATATATGACGTATGACAGCGCGATTGGTTGGTGATGATGTGAGATGTGTGTCTGCGAGCTGTGGATGTGCCAGGAGGGGGATTGTGAGTTAGTTGGCTGGAAGGTGTAGAGGAGAGCAGAATAGATCTTCTTCTTGTGCTGGACGGTGACTTTTAAGTCAGTACGACAGCCCACCCTCTCGCTCGCTCCGTTAGTCGCCCCAAAAGGCGTTATACTGGTTTATATTGGAGATAATCTGCAGTTTGATGTGTATGCAGAAACCATCGTCCAACGGTCGATCGGACGCACATTTAATATGATCTGTCCACAATCCAGTCTGTCAGCAAATGGGAAGGAAGATAATTAGGTACGGAGAATCTGTCTCGTGGATAGGTCGGACGAAGGCACACGGTATTGTAGATGATTTGCTCCAGTGTTTATCAGATGTCAGATGGAGGCGGGTGCTCGCCACTCGGTATTAGAGACTGCCCGTGTGCGGTGGTCAGATGAGACCAGCAGATATCCGGATCAGGTGGAGGTAGGTACTCAGTATCAGAGGCGGCCGCCTCTGGCGGTCAGCGGCGGCTGCATTGATCGCTCTCTCTCTCTCAGCTGAGCACGAGGTCTGCCGGCGCTGAACGGTCGATCGCCGCGCTGGCGCCGGGCCCGCCGCCGGCCAGAGCCCCGCAGGTGCTGCCACCTGTCGGGCGCTGACCGACTCACCACCCGGCTCACAGCAGCGAGATGCTCGGAAAATTCCGCCCCGCAAAGTTCTAAATACGTAACATGGGTTGAAGTAAAAAAGTCAAAAGTGGTAGATTTCGTAAAATCAGGAAAACACCATTTCACATCAGGATCTGTGTTTATATGTAGTTCGATGAGGGAAGCCTTTCCAAAGCTTTATAACCTTTTTACACCGCAAGTTTTCACCTGAGACAAATGTGATACCTAAATGCCCTTGATCAAGTTGATCCAGCACAACAGATAGGAGTCTGTCTTCTTTGACGTCTATATCGTGTCTTAATCAAAAGATATATTCGACAGAAACGGCGACTATCCCCACATTGCCTGAAGTGCGCAAGCATCACCTGGCATTGAACTGAGCACAAGCATTGAATCGATGTCCTACAGCGCAGGAATTGACTCTCACTCGCGTACTCTCCAGTGTCCGCTCTCCAATGCACATACGACTGATTCTTCGGCTGACCCCAGCGTGTGGACGTTTATTGAGACGGCGTTCTCTCTTTTCGAGCAACGGTGCCGTAACAGCATGAGTCGCCGCCGGGCGGGCAGGTACCGCCAGCTTCAACAGCCAACGGTTGCTGTTGCGGTCGACGCTCACTGTTGATAATAGGTCCCGGTTACACCCCTAAGAGGACGCCGTTTTGATTGGCGCACGCGCCGCGCGAGACTGGCGGTACCAGGTCTCCGCGATTGGTGCTATAAGTGGAAATCTTGAAGAGAATACAGGAGAACGGAGACAAAGTTTGGCGCCCTTCCACTATCAGTGTTCGTGAAGATGTCGACTGTCGAGCATTGAGTTGTAATGTGACACTTATTTCATAAATATGCAAGATATTGCAACAAAAATTACCCGACGTTTCGTTTATTATAACTTTTTCAAGGACAATGAAAAATTTATTACCATAGAAAAGGTTACAATAAACGAGCCGTCGGTTAGGTGTTTTTGTTGCAATATCTTGCATATTTATGAAATGTCGATCATTGGCGTCTCCCTCCGAGACGGTGTGCTACTGCACCACCGGTCAATAGCGGCGGAATAATAGGAGGCAGAGGGGTCGTATATGGAAACGGAGACCAATCACATGAACATTGAGCTGGTTAGTGGTTTACCGTCAGTCACATAGTTCACATTGTAACCCACTCTCAAGGATTGCACGCAGCGTCATGGAAATTTGACGATAAAAGTCATTTAGTACCTGCCCACTAACGTGTGAAAAATAACTTGTGATCGGCACATTGAGCTCAGTGGAGCGAGAGCATCACATTGACATCTGTTTATCCTTTATTAGTTAGGCATTGAGTATACCTACATTAGATAACACTCCATGTTACGTTAACAGAAAGCCATTCATTACATATGAGAAGTAACCCATTGTATTTTGTGCTGGGATAACTCTGGATTGAATGTTTGTGCGTTCTTGTAATGAAAAACAGCTCCATATTGTGTCACTCCTTGCGTACAAAGTTTGCTGTTTTATCTATATTTTTTTTCATTCGTTCAATGCTAGTGATGAGGCTGAGCACCGTGCAATGTGTTTTTGGCGAGATTCAGGAGCAGTTGATCGATAGCACGTAATTGGAGAACCAGCAACATTCCCTGCAACGTTTAATACTGACAGGACAGCGCAACGGCATTGTAACAGCATCTAATAATCGCATTCAAACATGTATAACTATGATTCACATATGAACAGGTGGCACGCTCTGCTAAGAGATCAGGCGGCAAGAAATGTCCCGATATAGTCGGTAAGTTCAGAAACACTGTCAAGTGTCAGCCATCGAAGAAATGGCGTGTCTCCAGCTGTTGATAAATGGCAAATACCAAAGTGCGGTGTCGCCTTTCCGTAAGTCGGTTGCAGATTAAAAACATGGGAAATAGAGCGTCAAGCGGTGGCCTAAAATGGATATCTGGGGAGGGCTTTTAAAACGGGACAAGAAAAATAAACGGGTCTGGATGGGATTACTACTAAAAGCATGGCATTGTTGAAGAACGGGCGTATTAACTGCGCAAATATTGGAACATGTCTTAGGACAGCTCAACATTACGTAAATATGTATAGTCAGAAACTTCAAGGCCATGGAAAGCGTGCTCGTGCCCTGTGCTGTCCGCGAGGTGGAGCACTGTGTGCGTTCCTGTAGCTCGCCACTCACACAACACTGTAACGTCAACGATTCAACAGCCCACCGCGCCGCGGCGCACGGCTCCACCACGCAGCTCCCATTGAGCACCTCACAAAGTTCGTCACTGAGTCTGTTCATTGAGACAAGTTCCTGTCACTACTTCACACCACGGTATAAGTACACGACTGCCGCTGCTGTGCCGATATCTCAGAGTTCGCGACATGGCGGCAGACGCACGTCCCACACACACGAGTCTAGTGTAGGAAGTCGCACAGTACACCCCAGTGCCCGCAGACATCCAGCTGACAGCTAACGCTTTCACCTCGTTAGCTGTCTCGCGGCGGATGTCACTTCCACCAGCTGTGCGAACGGCCGTGCTCGGATGTCGGCTATTTTTCTAGCAGCCTCCGCTACCGACGCGAAAAAGACTGGCGGAGACGGCGTAGTGTGCTGCGCACCTCTTTGCGCATCCGAGTCGACGTGGCCAGCAGGATGACCGGGTGGATGAAGAACTCGGAGTAGACGATCATGTCGCAGATGAGGATGCCGATCGGAGGCAGGATCCAGCCGTGAAGGCCGATCACCAGCAGGGTCGGGATGTAAAGCACCAAGTGACTGAGCGTGACGAGAAACGAGGCCATGGCAGTGCGCTCCAGACCGCGGTAGTCGAGGATGTGCACACTGGCAGGGTTGTGGGAAGCGGCCACCTGTTTGCGACGCAAAAAGATGGCCACCAGCACGTAGCCGACGATGATGGTAAAGAGTGCGAGGCAGTAGATGACGAGGATGAAGATGAAAAACACCGACGGCAGGTCGGGGATACAGAGGATGATGGCTGGCTCGAAGAGGGCGTCGTAGTTGGTGGTGACAAACACGGCCACGCTGAAAGAGAAGAGCCAAGAGAGCATCACCACGAAACTGATGAATCGGATAGGGAACAGGGGATACTTTCCGATGGGCAGACACGACGCCAGCACGCGGTCGATCTTCAGCATGATGAACATGATGATGTGCTGCAGCCAGAGCAGCACGTTGATGATGCTGTTGAGGCTGCAGATGACCTCGCCGAAGGTCCATTCGCCCTGCATCGTGGTGATCAGCGGCACGGGCAGCACGCACAGCGCCCCGATCAAGTCTACGATGCACAGGTTTTTGATGAGGAGGAAGTGGACGGTTTTCAGCTTCAGGTCGTTGTGGTAGATGTTCTGGATGACGCAGATGTTGAGGATGACGGCCGCTGTGATGATGACGCAGATGCAGAGCGACTGCGCCGGCTTGTTCATGATCCACAGCTCGGGCTCGCCGTTCTGCTCGTGTCGTTTTGCTTCCTCCAGCATCTTCTCCACCTGCGAGCAGAGCAGGTGGAGCGTCACGGAGCGACTCAGATGGCTTCGGTTGAAACACGACAGCTTGTGGCAGAATGGTTGGCTGCTCGTCTTGTAGGTATTCACGTTATGTTTTCGCATACATACTATATATTTTTTGTTTTGCAAAAATACGGAAAATTATAGCAGTTCCTACAACAAATAAGGCACGCATATATGCCTTTACTCAAGGCTCTACCGGGCTCATGCATTTTATTTACCCTTTTAGGACTCTGTACCTAATACCCGGCGTAAACAATTATACCGGTACTGGAAGCAAACCCACTCTAGCTCTTTCTTTCTACATCTTCCCCCCTCTCGTTCCCCTACTCGCGTCTCACCCATTCGTCCAGCACGGAGGAGTAGTTGGAGAAGATGCTGAGCAGGCTGCGCCACGCCTCCAGGTCGGACTGGGGCCGGGCCTCTCGGGCGCGGGCGGCCGCCTCCGGCACTCCCCCGGCGATCGCCATCGGTCACCGGTGCTGACTGTCGTCGGTGGAGCGGCTCGGTGCGGCGCCTGGTGAACAGAGAGGTGCCGTCAGACGCGGCGGGACGGAACACAGACGAGGTGGCCGGTATCGGGACCTGGAAGAGGAAATAAATGTTGAGGGAACTGGGATGCTAATGGATGTGCATTTTGCTAAGAATAAGAAAATAAAGACATTGATCCTTGAGGAACCCTGTTGAATTAATGCGAGAGTGCCGCCGATTGCAGTTCAGTGTTTTCCGGTTCGGTCCGGTGGCTGCCTGTGCATTCGGACCCCGCCGTGCCGGGGTCAGCGTCTGACCCGCTGGCGGACGGTGACGTCACTGGCCGGTCGTCGAGCGCCACCTATTGATTCCGGGCCGGGCCGGGCCGGCCGAGGTTGGTTCGGCCCGGGCCGAGCCTCCGCCGGCGCCGCTCCGGACTCCGGACCGGGCGGTCGGCGGAGAGCGGAGCGGCGCCGGAGTCACGGACTGACGCGTACCGGATGCTGAACAGAGGGTTAGAGGGATTATGGATTGAAGGTGGGATTAGCTCACCGGCTATTGGACGTTGAATTGATTGGGCAGATGTGATTTGGTGCGAGCGGGTTTCCAGTGCTCCCTGGAGAATTTCTAGTGGTGATACCTAGGTGCCAGTTTCCAGTCACACTCTCATTCTTTACAAAAAAAATATTGCTTCTATATTGTTCAAAAACGATATAGGTACATAAATCGTGGCTGGTGGGCTTTCCTTTCATCCTTTAGGTAAGTATACCTTTTCCATCGTCAGTCAATTGAAGATCAATCACTTAAGTTCTATCTGCCTGCCTATAGTTACATGTTTGCACCGCAATGCGCTCAAGTGCTCATGTAAATTTGAGCCCCGCCTTATCTTCTTCCGTCGTCCATTATTATTTGCTTTATCTATAACTACCTAGTAAGTTTATCCCATGGTGACTGTAGTTATGGTAACGATGCACTTAACTGACGTCACTGGGCTGGTTGCCTTGGTAACGGTACACAAAAGAACCAATGACGTCACGGGGCTGCCCTGGAATCCATTATCCATATAAGTATCTATCTGCGACTGAGAGCCCGCTTGAGCGGTTAGAGGGCCTTCGATTGAGCGGATGCATGGGGACAAATCAGCCGCTACTGTGGAGAAAATCAGACGGCACTTCGCCAGAACAAAGTGCAGGACGAGCTTAGAGGCCGATTCATTTCCGATAGGAGGCGGAGTGGGCAGGGAGGGGAAATACGAAGAAGAGGAGGGGATAAAAGGTGACAAAAGACAGGCTCGCATTGCGCTCGGCTGGCTGATTGGGCTGCCAGCTAGTTGTGGCTTATATGCACCGTGGTTGTGGCAACTATAAAAAATGTAATTAACCCGTGAATGTGTGTGCGTTCTTGAAAGCCGGACCTTTATCTATTGGCAGTCTTCCTATTGTGCTGGGGCGGGGCATCACCTCCATGTGAATCATCATTCATCCTTAATCCCTATAGATAAAGCAGCTTGGTCGATGACCCAGCACCTTCATTTGGTGGAGAAATACAGTGGGATCATTTGGCCTGAGCTTTTTTACGAAAGTATCGTGTAAGTCATGCTGCTGCTGCTTGCTACGATGCTGTTTGTTATCTACACACGGTCTGGCCGAGTGGGGGGGGGGGTAATAGGACCTCTTTCACCGTTTTGCCCTTATTTTATAGGCTAGGGCTTCGTCGCGAAAAAATGTTGAGCATCGTTACTAGACGCAGCGCCTGTATAATAGGTCTGAGGTCAAACGGTAACTTCTGAGGCTAGGTAAAACACCTGAAGATCAGGGTCAAGTCAATGGTAAACAATGGTCGTATGACTCAACATGAAGTGTAGTACCTACCAAATACCAATGGTTTTCAACGCTGGCATCATCGTCTTCGTCGCACTAGGCCGCGTCAAATGGTATACTTTGTCTGACAAACTTTGATTCCGGTGTCGGTCTCAGGTCAAGGTCAGGTCAAAGTCTCTCAGTCAGGAAGTTGGTTGGGTAGGTCATTTTTCATACAGTTTTATGTTAGCAGGTTATAACACAGAGTTAGTTTATTCATCATCCTTCCAACGGGCCATACGGTATGCACATTTACAGGAAGGTACCCCTCCCCCCTGGGCTACGGCTAATGTGGGAGCCCACCCCACTCCTGCTGGTGACACAGCTGGGGACGACGCCCGCGGAACGGGCGGCACCGGGGATCGAACCCGGAACCTCCCGCACCGCGGGCTGACGCCTTACCAACTGCGCCACCAGGGCCGCGGTGCCACCAGTTGGTGCCTTTACCCGACTCGTCGGCTTAACCCTCGCCGGCCGAGGTGCCCCCCCCCCCCCCCGAATCGTGCTGAACTTCTGACATTGAGTTTGGGGTAAGACGGGCAACTATGGATCCAATGGGTCTGTATTTACGAGTACCTAATGGTGAAAATATTTTTGTTGCTGTAGGAAAAAAGAAGCATTTCTGTTAAGAATATGCTCGATTTCGATACTCACAGACATGCTAGCAATATTCCTTCGGCCACAGTTTATTCTCGAATAATGAATGTGAAAAACTGCTCTACAAGTTTTCTGAACTACGGCCATGGATAAGAGATACCTGGATGGGGCACTCTCGGCGGTACCCTTTGATCTACGCGTCACACCGCTGCGGCCGGCGGCCGCCTGGTGGCGGAACCCGGAACTAACAACGTACACGACCGCCGGGCGCCCGGGCCGGCTGAGAGCATTAGCGGCGGCCGTATCTTACGCTCCTCGCCGTTTCAAGCTGCGCTATTGGGGCCTTTGGATGGGTGGGTGGGTGTCAACGGGTAGTTAGCACGATGCTACACGTGTGCAATGTGCTCGATTTCATAAAAATCGTGGTCGCTTAGATACGTTAGCCCACTTAACGACGATCGAATCGCGGATTCCGCCCACAGTTTCTGCGCATGTTCGTCCTCTACATCCTCACAACCAACTCACCTCATCACTGATCACCCATATTTGTTCTGAGCTGATAGCCAGCCACCACACCCGGCTCCTTGGCGACTGGTGAGGGCACTAGGACAGTTCGAGTAGAACCATTTCCCTCCAGTGCTTGCATTACCGAGACATGCCGGTCTCGCCTGAAGCTCAGCTCCGCCTGTCGACGGTCGAATCGGCCCACTGTATGTAGGCCCCTATTCTCTTATTTAACGCCCCAAAGAATTATAATACACCAGAAGCTATACAGGAACCGACACACCCGCACATTAAGTTAGCAAATGCCATGAGTAAACAGAATGCTGAATGAGACGATTCTATTTGCAACAAAAACTCACCGACCTACAGCGCTCAGCATTAGCTTTCTTCAAAACAACAGCCCATCAAAACAACTCCCAAGGACGGACAAGTTCACAGACATCTAAAAAAACACTGATCAGTGCCCACTGCCCTCCAGTAACGGAGGCCATTGATGGAACAAGGGGCAAGTAGGGAAGTGGAGACGTATCGATACAAACATGACCAGTAGATCTCCACGCCTTAACGCATCAGGGTTGAGGTGTCCATTGGTCTTTATAAACATAAGTGATACACAAAACTACTTTCAATATCAAACATCCTAGCAATACATACATTATTGCCCAATGTCATCCCTAAGCATCAATCAAACAGTTAAATTAAGCAAACACTGGCATTTACAAACATTAACACTAAGGCACTGTATACAACACCCAATACACATACATGTTTAACACTCAAGGCACCACACAAGCATTGCCATCGCATGATCTTGCCCCAGCCCCAATCCCCATCCTTCCAGTCCAGTGCTCATAAACAGGCTGATCCAAAACCAATGGCTGGTAGCTGGTCAAACTGGAAAGTGGAAAAGGTACAAATGTGATTAGATGTAATAGGTGGATATTATGAAGAATCAACTCAATTTCAATGCATATTTATAAAAGAATAGTAATATTAATTGAGTTATATTATTAGAAAGTATTATAAGAACGAAATGTTCCTGAATACAAGATAGGTAGAAATACGAATGCACTTCCTTGTAATGTATATTTGATAAAATATTAATCATTTTATTTTTATAGGAGGAATTTAGCTTCTTACTAGACATAAATTTCCATTTTTCCTAAAAAAAAGGTATTAACTATTTATGATAAAATGATTGCAATCAAGAACTCCTTGAAGAAGCGTAAACTCGTAATGAAAAATTATTGGTAGGTGGAAGATAATAATTCTGTGACCATATTTTAATAGTATATTTATTATAAATCTTGTCAGTTAATGAAAAAAGGGTTTACAAATAAACTATTCAATCCGGACAGCACTTCAAGCTCAACATATAATACTTAACGCTGTGGAAGTACCTACTTTGATATGCAGCATTATAAGTCATTAGTGTTGTAACTTGTAGTTAAGGTCTGAAATGAATGTGGGGCTAAATAAGAATGCATTCCAGTATCTTTAAAATGTATTTATTTTGCATTATTCTTATAATAAGGCAAACTATTCCAAACCAATGTTAAAGCAGTGTAATCTGTGATGAACAATGTGCGCCATATTTGTAGTCACCACTTCAAAGGCCATTCTCCTATTACCACACATGAATATTCATTTAATTCTACATGCAATCGATTCTCGGAACGATTCTGAATAAAACCCACTACCTCACATCTACTTAGCCTACCGTCAGTGGCGGCGGAAGCAGGGGGGCAAGGGGGGCAGCTGCACCCTAAAGCTATGGAAAGGGGCGCCTCTAAAATCTGTAGAGAAGGCAGGAAGTTAACCCGCGAGTTGCTGGGGGGGGGGCGTTAAACGCCCCCACTTTTTCGCCGGGCCATAGCATAAAAACGGCGCGCCGCAGGCGCGCCAAATTTTGGGTACCTGTAGGGAATTGATTGAAGTTTATTGTGACAAAGTTTCAAAAAAATCGGTCGGAAATTTTTTGAGATATCGAGGTTTTAGTGACGTCATGATTTCTGAGTTTTCGACCAAAAACGGCATATGTTCAAAAAATCATATAAAATCACAGAATAGACATACAGACATGCCG